GAACGCGCGTTCGGTGTTGCGTAACTGATCTGTCAATCAGGATTGGCGATAAGACGTGTTAACCAATCAGCGCGTCGACCGATCAGCATGCCAGTTTGTCATTCGATGTAAATAAAACATTCTACAAGCAAAGCGTGTTCATGTACAGTGTGAAATTATTATTAACACGATTAAAAAAATATTTATATTTATAAATTAATATCTAGATAGCATGTTATATTTACACATTTAAAATCCATTTATTTATATTGCGTAAATTTAACAGACAAAAAGTTCTTTAATGTATAAAAGAAAATAATGGTTATCACAATTGTTACTAAAAAAAAAAAGAAAAAAAAAGTATTTTGACAAATTATAACATTTCATTATCTCAAGATACTGTACAAGAGTATGTATATGTACGTGCTGTCATTCAATTATTTTATTTTTATAATTCTAATTTACATTTTTGTTTAAATCCAGATCAACATCAAAATTATTAATCTTCTTAATTGAAAAAAAGTAAAAAAAATAAATAAATAAATAAATAAAGAACAGCATAAATGTACATGTACATTATGTCCAATCGTAAACTACTATGGTATTATTTTGATTTATCTTTTACAAAAAAAATAATGTAAAGCTTGATTTACCTTGTTGTTTTTATTATTATTATTATTATTATTATTATTATAGTCTGTCCCACGACCGGAACGTCACTACTTTTTGCAAGATATCTCAAAATATATAAATACCTTGGCTTTCAACCTAGGTTCGATCGGTAGATTGATTTTTTTCCAAACTTCCTGCATTTATACGAACCCTCGAGGTCAACCAGTGTATAGACACGGCGGCAAATTCAAAGTCTACGGGGATTTAACATGGTAAACTCGTCCATTAGCGTCTAGATTACGGGGCGGGGAACCAGTTTTTGAAGGGAGTAGTCGTTCTTTCCAAAGTAAAATTCCGAAAAATCTGAGAAAATCAAAGGACGTAATTTAAAGTGTTTTTATTAATAATGTGAGTATTTATTTGAATTTAAATATATTTTAACACTGTATAACGAGTTTTGTCATAAACGCCGAGAAAATAGTTCGCGGCCGAGTATAATGCAGTACAAGTTGCGGATACAGACGTTGACATGATGATGCAAGAATATGTTTTTAAAAACGTAAGTTGTTTATTTTATTTTTTTCTGTTGTTGTTTTACTACCTAATGTACACATAGGAAAGAAGTGTTTCCAAATTGTAAGAATATGCCAAAACGCGTGGTATATGTATATTTGGCATTTTAACAGTGGCCCATATACAGAAGTATGTGTTAAAAAAAAAACGTAAAAAGGTACATATGACATAATCAGCTGATTAAACAATTAGGAAAAAAAGCTTTAAAATAACACCAAGATTACATAAAGAAAATAACAGCTGGTAAAAACATTATTTTCAATATATGAAAGTCTGTACTTTCTCTTTCAACATTTCATGCTTTTGACAGTGAATCACAATCTACATGATGTAAAATGCATTTTCTTTTTACATTTATTTGTAGTGTCAACACCCTGGGGAATCAATATAGAGTTTTCTATATCATGTATATATAACACATATTTTTGGCATTTTTTTTTGAATTTTTATTGAAAAATGTGTATTTTTTACAAGTTCTAACATCTAAAATATACCTTTAGCCAAAAGTTTTGTCAATTTTACAGGACCGAGTTCTAAGGGTCATTTAATGTACATGTATTGATGTATAGACAACTATCTTGGTAGATGAATATACAGAGTGTTTCAGCAATCATGTCCTGACTTTCCAGTTTAAATAAAAACAGAAGCAAAAGAGGAAAAAGGGAAAATATAAAGAATAAGTCATGTCTATATAATTTCATCAGTATAAACTTTAAGATAAAACTGAATCGTTTATTCTGAATACAGACATTTTTCAAAAAAAAAATTTGACATCAGAGGCAATTTTCCAATTAATGCCATGTGCCACGTACATTCAGTGTTCCAAATTGCTGTATTGTGTTTCTCAGACAGCAGCTTCATTTTGTCTCCAAGTTCCCATACTGCTCAAATGTGGACTTAATTTGAAAAATCTGTTTCCTAGTACACTGTAGGGTCTCATCTGAGTATTTCTTTTTCAAAACTCTATTCACTGGTATATGCAATTTTTTGTTTGCAGTAGTCATGATAGTTTAGTGCAACAATATTCATATATAGAGATCTTTTAACACCCATATGAAAGAATAGTTTTTCTATTGTAATAAAAAATATATGGTAATTGTGTCCTAACATAATATATATTTTCTGCCAGGAAACCTACTATGAAAGAGAGTTATGTAAATATTTTTTTATTCAACAATATTTTAACTTTTAAATTCAGAACATTTTCAAATTTTATGAAATAGATGCCCTGTATATACAGGTATGGCACATTCTCTTGATTCAGCTATGTAGCTTGATTTAGCAATGAGGGTAGCAGATCAGAAATCATGGCTATAAAGCAAAAATGATTTACATAATAAACCAGTCAGACTATTATAATGTCTAATATCTTCAAATTATCCTGTCTTTTAAATATTGAACAGTCAGAATGAAACTTTTAAGCTTACCACTTTTCATCTTACTTTCATTTTACAATCTTTTTCTAATCTCTCGTGTATTTTTTTTTTTGTCCCTCAGCAAACTCAGTGCTTTCATTTTTCTCTTTCAATCAAGAGATTTTGACTATAAAATTTACAAGTCATTTTTCTTTGTTCAAAATTAAAAAAAAAATTAATTTCAAGAAACATAATACTATGTAACTTACACAATACACACAAAAAAGTAATATATCCTGATACAAAAACCTTGTATATTTTTGTATATCATGATACATAACATTTTAAGCTGTGTCATTTTTAGCTCTACTGGTCAGAGACCAGAAGAGCTTATGCAATAGTAAGTTGTCCGTCATCCGTCTGTCTCTCTGTCTGTAAACATTTTTTCAAAATGCTACTCCTCCTACAGTTTTGGTCTGATTTCAATATAACTTGGCACACAAGTACACTACACTGGGATACATAATTCTGTATATCCTTTTTTTGATTTTTGTGAAATGTTGCCATGGTTACAAAAAAGCTGAAATTTCTTTGACATACTTTCAAAACATTACTTGTCACCCATGTGGCGCAGTGGTAGAACGTTTGCTCTAGAGTCACAGAGTAAGGAGTTGATCCTTACATCGCAGGTTCAAATCCCACTGTGGGACATGGAGACCGGTCCTTTGGATGAGACCATATAAACCAAGATCCCATGTCGCAGTAGGTGCTGGCAGAAAAAAGATCTCTTACTGCTCAATGGCCCTGAGTGCCGAGTATAGGTCAAAATTTGCAGCTCTCCACTGGCAAGTGGTGGCGTCTCCATATTAGTGAAAAATTCTTGAGAGGGACATTAAACAACAAACAAACAAAATATTACTTCGCCTACAATTTGGTCTGATTTTAATATAAATGGCATTGCAAGTAGACCACACTGAGATACATAATAGTCTTTATTTTTTTTTTTATTTTGATGAATGATGTTGCCATGGTAACTAGAATCAAAATTTCTCTAATATTCTTTTAAAAGGCTACTCTTTCTACAGTTTTAGTCTGATTGCAATTCATCTTGCAACAAAAAGAGAGCAAAACAAGGATTATTATTTATTTATTTATGTTGCAAAGTTTCAAGTCCAATTAAGTGCTTCTTTTCTCTTCCTTTGTTATAAGTACAAACCAGTAGAGCTACAGTCTCAACAGAAACCTCTGGTTTTTTAGCTCACCTGAGCCGAAGGCTCAAGTGAGCTTTTCTGATCACATTTTGTCTGTAGTCCGTCTGTCCGTCTGTCTGTCCGTCTGTCCGTCTGTAAACTTTTCACATTTTCGACTTCTTCTCAAGAACCACTGGGCCAATTTCAACTAAACTTGCCACAAAGTATCCTTGGGTAAAGGAGATTCAAGTTTGTTCAAATGAAGGGCCACGCCTTCTTCCAAGGGGAGATAATTAAGAATTTGTGAAAAATTAATGGCATCATTAAAAAATCTTCTTCTCAAGAAACACTGTGCTTGAAAACATGAAACTTATGTGGAAGCATCCTCAGGTAGTGTAGATTCAAGTTTGTTCAAATCATGACCCCTGGGGGTCGGGTGGGGCCACAATGGGCGATCAAAGTTTTACATAGGAATATATAGGAAAAAATCTTTAAAAATCTTCTTCTCAAGAACAGCAAAGCCATAATTGGTCATATTTACATGGAAGCATCCTCAGATAGTGTACATTCAAATTTGTTCAAATCATGACCGCCGGGGGTCAGGTGGGTCCACAATGGGCGATCAAAGTTTTACATAGGAACACATAGTAAAAATCTTAAAAAAAACTATTTGTTAAGAACAGCAAAGCCATGATTGGTCATATTTATATGGTAGCATCCTCAGATAGTGTACATACAAATTTGTTCGAATCATGACCCCCGGGGGTCGGGTGGAGCCACAATGGGCGATCAAAGTTTTGCATAGGAACACATAGTAAAAATCTTTAAAAAAAACTATTTGTTAAGAATAGCAAAGCCATGATTGGTCATATTTATATGGAAGCATTTTTAGATAGTGTACATTCAAGTTTGTTCAAACATGACCCCTGGGGGTCGGGTGGGGCCACAATGGGTGATCAAAGTTTTACATAGGAATACATAGGTTAAATCTTTAAAAATCTTCTACTCAAGAACAGCAAAGCCATGATTGGTCATATTTAAATGGAAGCATCCTCAGATAATGTAGATTCAAATTTGTTCAATTCATGACACCCCCCCCCCCCAACCACTTTTATATTTAAACTTTTCAACCTTTCAAGATTGAAGTGATTTCTGCTTTTTCCTAGCCATAGTGCTCAGGTGAGCGATGTGGCCCCTGGGCCTCTTGTTTTAGTTTTATCTTCATATTGCAGTCCTTACTATTTAAAAGACAGGTCATTGATCAAAGAAATGTAATAGTAACCAAAGCAAAAATATTTGATGATGCCTTTATTAATTACTAAATAACATTTTTGAAGGTATAATTAATTGGAGTGCAAAGTTATGATGACCAGACAGTGTGACTTTAAGACATGCATGCATGCATGTAGAAGACTATCTACTCAATTTTTCAGAATAATGTGATTGAAATTCATCTGATGGTGGACTAAACATTCAGGTTTCAGGACATTCTTCTAGACTTAATAGCTAGTAAGTATTTATATAAATGAAAAAGGTTTTACTCTTCCCATGTATTCTTCAGGTTGGAATCTGAAATTGAAAATTGACTATATACATGCATTTTTAATATGTATCAATTCATGTTGACATGTAATGCAAGTTCAAGTATAATCATTTGATTATTCCTTTAAAATTCACTTTGCACAGACTTAAAGTATATTCATGCACCAGAATCTTTATGATGGATTAAAATGTGTTTCATCATCATCTTTTTTTTTTCAGGCTCAAAGTATATTGGCTGAATGAAAGATTACCTGGTAGTCTGCCAATGGGTTGATCATTGGATGAGCCAGACACCAACCATTCACCACAGAAGTTTTAATGGAGACAAACATAAACACTCCTTCTCAATCTTCATTCATGACTTGTTTTTCACTATGGATTCTGAGTCATGACTTCATTTTTCAAAAGCATGGACACCAGCAGCATTGGGCACTCAGTTTTCATAATCATTGATTCTTCTAAATTTGATCTGATATCTTTAAGTAAAGGAAAGAGAAAATTCATTAATCGTTTGCAATATTTCCTGTAATCTCACTAAATGTGTTTAAAGTTTGAAGCAATTCTATTTGATAAGTTTAAAAAAACATATATCTAGCTTTAAACAAGCAGTAATAATATTTTGAAAACAATTATCTGAGTATGACTAATTACTTTGCCCATTTCAGACAGGTAGCTTACAAAAACTGATTGACATCTACTGTGGAATCATCATTGTTTGTGGGGGACCAACATTCTTGGATTTTATCACATGGATCAGCTATACCCATAAATTTATATTTCCACAAATGCTAATATTTTAACATTTTAATCAATCCATTAATTCCTTTGATTGTCCGTCCACTGTCCACAAAACAGCAAAACTATATGCCTGCCCACAAACACTGACCTCCACAAATTAAAATGATTCCATAGTATTATGCAATTTACAAAAAAATGTATATCAGGAAGCCATATGTACCAGGGAATGGAATAATGAATAAACATACTTTGAAAATTTACAAATACATGAGGAAAAACATTTTGCTTGACTGGGAATCAAACCCAGGACCTCTGCATTACAAATACTTGTATACTAATGAGGTTTTCTAACAACCAAGCTGCCCAGACTGCTCAAGTATCTACAGTCCATATAGCCAAAATTACTTAGGATGTATCTGCAGCTACTTATGGCTGAATTTATTTTATGCACTTGTTTGTTTGTGCTTGTCTATATTCAATATGGTGTTTTTAAAATTTTATGGTGATTTTTTCTTGAATTGCCTGCATTTCTTGAGAGACTTCTTGAATTATAGGGTAAAAATGACCATTTTCAAAGTATATTGTGTCTTCACCGGGAAGCTATTTTGGTATCCTGGCCCCGGGATCATGAAACATCTTAAGCTTAAGTCAAAATCTTTATGTTGTACTAAAATGTTGTAGAAGTCAAGCAGGCCAAAATTAAACTATTTTACAATATTGCTTTACAAAAGTGTTATTGCAAAATTGGAGATTAACTCAATAAATGATAAACATTTTACAGGCAATTGAAAATATGACTTAAGTCAAAGTCTGTTTCATGATCCTGCAGCCTGCAATTAAATTTTTGTTTCAAAAATTTTATCTGTTGTTTTTATGAATAAATATTTTTTTTTTATTATATGAGAATCGCTGGCTCTGACTTGTATAGAAAGTGTCAATATATATACATGTTTAATTTTTTTTTTTTTTATGTAAAACTATTGAACTTTCTACCAAAAGAAAAAAATAAGATGATAAAAAAAGAAAAGGTAAAAATTAAAATAAAAAAGTAGTATAATCTTTTAGGCTTGTGTTATGTAGTTTTTGTGTGTAGGATTGAGTATTTAAGTTTTGGCTTTCTGTTACATTTGTGGAAACACTAAAAATATATCCAAGGGCCTGGATTTACCTAATGCCGATATTACAGGAAGTTTTCGAAGGGCAAGGTCAAATTCCATTGGTGACGTAGTTTGATGCAGACAACAATAGTTGTTTTGCACCGAGATTCAAAATATAATATTGATTTTGGATTTAAGTGTTTAAAGTGTTGAAAGTCTAACAAAAACAGGATATATTGTGCAGTTACGGACATCAATTGTTCACATAGAAGTGACACGATGCCTCTTTTGACCCTGTGTATAACAAACTATAGGGAGTTGAATTTATGTGGAAGCTAGGCTAAGGAGTAAGGTAAAGCAGCAATTAATTTTAACAATCTTAATAATATGACTACGCTTATTAGAACTTAGATCTCTACGTTTTGGCAATAAAAGCAGTCATGTCACTTGAGTTAAATTTGCAGTTGCCTCGATTGTTTTTAACAATCTTAGGATATATGAATTGAGTCATACCTCTTTTCTTTATGCAGTGTATAGGCTAGCTGTTTTTAAAAATCTTTGATCCCTTCTGTCTGGCCCTGGGTATGAAAGTTTTGCCGAAGACGTAATTTCTGGCCTAAATATATACTTGGTAAGTTTCGGGCTTTATAGCTTTTTGGACGTCGATAAGCACAGAGCGTTCCCGAAGTTGCGTGACGTCATTACCTCACTGACGGCAATGTACGGAAAATTACGAATAATGATGGATCCCCTTCCGAAATGGCTGCCATTTTGACAATGTTAAATTCCCGTAGATTTTGAATTTGCCGCCGTGTCAATACACTGGTTGACCTCGAGGGTTCGTATAAATGCAGGAAGTTTGGAAAAAAATCAATCTACCGATCGAACCTAGGTTGAAAGCCAAGGTATTTATATATTTTGAGATATCTTGCAAAAAGTAGTGACGTTCCGGTCGTGGGACAGACTATAATAACTGAAATAAAAAGAAAAAAACAACGCGCAATTTACATGTACATTATTGAACGAACTAATTATCGGTAGTAAATAAGCAATATAATAAGTCGTACAGTATTGTATTCTTTTGAATAGCGTTACTTTAAATGATTAAGCGTATTTAAGATGTTTAACGATTTTTTTTCTCTGATGATGGGTCACGTTAACTGCTTATTGTGATCATGATATTTTTATATCAATACATCAGAAATGTACATTTTTACAAAAAAAAAAAAAAAAAATTATTAATTCCCAATACTTACATAAATAATTAGTCGACAAATGTACACGACATGATTGCCGGGGTTACTTTTTATCCCTGATACTTATTATTTTAATTTCTGCAGATGAATAAATTAAAAAAAAAAAAATTGCTGATTTTTGAATTCATAAATGGAAAGATGAATATAAGTATTCATTCATTATTTAGGCCACTTTTAAATTTTTTTTACCCCCATACTGCATATTATAAAATCCAGTAGAATCAAAACTCACAGTCAACCTATATCATATGATAGAACATGTTGCATTCGATCATAAATTACATTTTTACGTATCAAAAAGATAAAAAAAATTCTAAGTCGGAGAATTACATTGATAATTATTTGTAGTCTAAAATAACTATTAAATCTTATTTACAGGTAGTTTCAAAAAAAAAAAAAAAAAAAAAAAAAAAAAATTATAATTTTTTTTTCAGTTTTCCAAAGGCGATTAACTGCAGCAGTAAATATTTTTAATCTAAAATATCTATTAATAAGTTTTTTTTTTTTTTTTTTTTTTTTTTTTTTTTTAAAATATCCACTCCTAAATATTTTAACTATTTTGTGTAAAACGTGATCGTTCGTGTATGTTGTCAACAATAACATTGCAGCCACTGCACATGAACATGTTTCGATCGCAACAAAAACAACAATGATCGATTTCACTGCTGTATTTGGAATAAACAAGGGGCGGAGCTTACTGGCGGTAAGATTAAAGCGGGGTCCGCTTCGCGCATGAGTGCGTAAAGCGAACCCAGAAAGCGAACGCCGGGTTCGCTCTAGCGGACCCAGAGCTGACCCCGAGCGAACGCAGAGCGAACCCGAAGCGAACCCAGAGCGCACCCAAAATTTCTGAAAGCGGACCCGTAGCGGACCCCGAGCGAACCCAGAAAGCGAACCCGGGGTGCGCTTTGGGTTCGCTCTGGTGTTAGGTTGTGTCTGGTCGGTACTGTATTTCTATACAATTTGTTTTCTTTTGTTACGTGCGTTGCTAAAAAAATTTCTTAATTACATTTAAAGTTTGAATGATTAAATACTCCCAATGGATTGATTGATTGTATATTGTTTTACGTCCAGTTCTAAAATTTTTCACTTATACAGAGATGTCACCATTTAACGGTGAAGGGCTTCAAATTTAGACCTTTATTCGGCACTCAGGGCCATTGAGCAGTGAGGGTTCTTTATCGTTCCAACGCCTACCGTGACACGGGGCCTCGGTTTTTAAGGTCTCATCCAAAAGACCCGCAACGTTCACTTCAAAGTGCCGAGCGCTTGGCGAAGGAACAGTTGCGACCTATTTTTATCGAATTAGGTCAGTCGCGGCCGTTATTCGAACGAACGACCTTCCGATCAAGGAGCGAGCGCTCTACCGACTGAGCTACCTTGACGGTTTACTCCCAATGGATGACAATTTACTATTTATTTTTTAAGTTAAATTTCTTTCTTTCTCATATAACAATAACGGCTGGCAGCCCAGAATTAAAGCAACAATTACATGAAGGTGGTTAGACACTTCCTGAATCAAAACTCTGCTCTGGAGAAATCGGGTGTAAAAATTGACTAAGTGTAAATAAAGATTCTGAATATGGCACTTCACATTTTTACATGCACTTTTTTTTTCCCAAAATTATCATCACAACTTCCATGGAATTATTGGTCAACCATAATCATTTCATTAAAAAAATGTTTTATTATTTTAAAAATAAATATGCATCATATTTATTATTGTCCCAGAAAATTGCGAATATTTTTAATAATATTTTTGTTTCACTTATATCATAAAGTTAAAAATTTGCATGCACCATAATCATTTTTTGATACTGCACTGAAATTTTGACAAAATATCTCTATCAGAAATATTTCTCGCAGTTAAACAGATATAACATAGTGGCTGTCGGTGCAATACTGACAACGTCTGAACGTACATGCAGTTTGTGCCGTCTGCGAAATTGTTCGGGAATTTACACTGTACAAATTTATAATTTCGTATGAAGCAGAAATTCGATACTAGATTTGATTTCCATCTTACACATACTAAAGTCATCGGTACATTTATTTGCATTTTCTAGGACAACCTTCATATTTACCTCAATATCTCCAAGTAATCATTAACTCAATAAAATCAAAGCACTATCATTTAATTTATTATAATAATGACCTGCTTGACAATTTGAAAAGATCTACAAGTGCATCTCCAGGCAGTCCGTATAATTAGAATATATTGACAATTATGAATGTCAGAAACCAAGAGAACTTTTGCAAATATGTTCATTAGGCTTATTACTCATAACTAAAATTGATAAAAAAATATTGATCGTGTCTTAGGCACTTTGTCTAATTCTTTCTTAATCTCTTCATTGTCTTCTAAAGAATAAACTGAAAATGAAACGGTTTTATATTTACTGCTTTTACAGAAAATCATCTAAATGTAGAAAATAAGGTTCCTATCCTTTATTAGAACTCCAAAATGGTCAGTAGATGCAGGAAATATGTAGAATGTTACACTCTTAACGTACAACACTTATTTAATGCCTTTTGTTACAACAGAACAGGTTATACTTTTTTATACTTCAGATAAAAAAAAAATGAAGAATAAAATGACAACAGGTAACAACGTGACAGGAAATATCTGCTTTGGAAAAACATTGATGAAGATCATATGTTTACTAGCAATGTTCCATTTGAAGATCATTCATAGCAAACCATCTATGATTACTCCAGCGATAGATTCGAAAAATATAGCAGATACCGACCATGACATGACAAACGTCACAAAAAGGACGACTGAAGCGAGTGATGATTCTGGTGATGCAGAAACAACTGAATCGTATGTAAATTCAGAGGTTGAAGAAATCAAGGACGAGTCGAAAAGACTAGATATGGTGACAAAGAAATGGACAGACAACAGTACACTTATTTGGACCAATTCTACGGAACAAGATACTCAGTATTCTTCTTTGCTTGTACCTGTAAGCGGAATGTCAGTTGGAATGCTTGTTATGGCCTTCAATGGTTTAGTCATAATTATATCTGGTATAAACCGTAGTTTACGAAATAGTACGTATCTCTACCTGGTGTTGAGTCTGTCTGTAAATGACTTTGTGTTAGGAATAAGTACATTTCTCAACGGTATTCGTGTCTTTTTATTCGCAAACTCAAGTATCTTTGAGTTGTGTGTTTTGTTAAATGTTCTTGGTATTTCCAGTTTGCTAATGTCATTCTTTCAAATATTTTGCATAAGTTTACATCGCTTTCTTGTCATTACTGAAAATGACCTCAACGAAAAACTTTTCAGTAAGAAACGGAAGTACTTAGTGTCCATCACCGGATGGATAATGAACGTGGCGTTCGTATTCTCCATGGTTTCACCTTCGAAATACAGTTCTACTTGCAATTACAGAAATGTTTTTGGAGAAAGGATAACCGTCCTCGGCTGGTGTAATTCAGCACTTGGAATGACATATTTATCTCTAACGCTTATATTTTATTGTCTATCAATTTACAAATTGAAAAATCATTTTTTAAATGCCTCCTCAAAATTCTCGGAACATGTAAATGAATCAAAGTATAGAAAACTGACAAAATCGATGAAGACAATTAGTTTCCTTCTTCTCGCTTTATTCGTGTTAACACTCCCACTGGCAACAATTCGCGTGATTGAAAGCATTGGTAATGTCCGAACCATTAGCACAACCATCGTTATATTTTTATTTATTTTAGCAAATACAAATTCTCTTATTAATCCCGTCATATACCTTTTTAATATCCCGGAGTTCCAATCTGCACTGAGACATCTTGTTTTTGATTACAAGTCTTCAAGTAGCCAATAAAATTGCAGAAAATAACTAGGTAAAAAACAATCTTGAAGAAAACGAAATTTAAAGGAATAAAATCAATCAGTAAAACATGATTAACTTTATTATTGTATTTGTAATCTAATTTTGAAACTCACTTTCGTGATGCAAATCTGGTACATGTAATTTGTCACCCTTTGATCTACTTCAATTGGAACTTGCAAGAAAAATGTTTATATAATTTGAGATTTACGTACATTGACGTAAATCACAACAAGACTTGCATGTACATGTAGTATTTGTTAGAAAAATATATGTAAAATAATCTGTGATGTATATTTTTAATAACCTGCCTATTCTTCACCCCAATAAAAGAATAGCAGAGATCTTCATGCAAGGAATCTCCATTTGACTGTCTATAAGAACCCGATGAACTTAAAGGATATGGTAGTACATGTAAGAACCAGACTGGACAACCGTTTCCCCCGGGATTGAAAACTTGTTCTGACAGAAAATATCCTCTCTATACTATTTCATTTCAGTTCCTA